TTTTAAAAGAATAGACCATTCAAGGTCATGATCCCTCAGATTTTTTCTTTTTAAGTTCTAGATGCAAAATGACTTGTTTTGGTGCAAATCTAAATCTGCAGCCTTCCTTGTCAAGACAGCCTACATGGAAAACACAGTGTACATGTAGCCCTGTGCTATTAGCTGTAACATAAGATAACCTATAATTTCCTAAAATAATTTGATCATGTACTAGTTAGGCGATTTCTTTCTACCAGGATTGTTAATACAGGATCATATGTATAAAACTATGGCTTGGGATCTGACCTCAGTACATGACAGTCGATAAGACCTTTGACCTAAAATACTTTGGAAATGTCAACTTTGTGAGCACCTGTTAAATTTCATACTTTGCAATGAGGCATATAAAGGCATATAACCTATCAGTTTATGTATTTTCCAACGAGAGCATTCTATTACAAAACTATATCTGGAAATAATAAGTAATGTAACACAACTACAAGCACAGATGAATAAAAAATAAAATCAAACAAAATCAACACAGTCTTTTTACTAAATCTCCTATGGCCTTAGCTCAGTTACAACATCAGTTAACCCTTATCCCGCTAAATTTGTGTAATGGATTTGCCCTGCTTTGAATTTGGAACAGTCCATTTAAAGTTCCAGGGATTTCAATATAGAAATACAAAAATTCAGCTACCAAAAGTAAAGAGCCAGTCAGACTTGAATTGCAGGCGGGCCTGGCTCTATACTCGTGGGGAAAGGCTAATCACTTTTGGTTCCAGCGGGATAAGGGTTAACTGATTTCTTTTAATAAATTAAATCTAATTTAACAAATGATAATAGCACTAAATCAACTGCAACCGCTATCTCATTTTCTACTTTTCTATCAAAATAAAATACAATTTCATGATCTGTGATATTTCTAATACATAATATACATATATCAAACAAATACACATAACAAGTGTAAACCATCAATTAAAAAATAATAATATTCAATAGCATCAAAAATCATTCTTTAGTCTATTTCATCACCTAAGAGTGAAACGATCAACAGTGCCATTCTTTCCTTCAACTATTTCTGAGATTTTTATTTAGGTGACGATATTCACATTTCATTTCTTACATTAAAAACTGAAAATTAACTTCCGTGTAAAGAAATAAACGAAACAACCCTATACAAACAATAAAGTACATATTCTTTAATAAATACCACACTTTGGCCGCATGTATCATTAAATGAGCCGCGCCATGACAAAACCAACATAATGGGTTTGCGACCAGCATGGATCCAGACCAGCCTGCGCTTCTGCGCAGGGTTTGTAAGCAAACAGTATGGATCCTGATCAGACTGCGCGGAAGCGCAGGCTGGTCTGGATCCATGCTTGTCGCAAACCCATTATGCTGGTTTTGTCATGGCGCTGCTCAAATAAGTATGTATATCACAGGTCATTTCACACGAGTATAATCATCAAATTTCAAACACTAGTCATGTACATTGTATACACATGTATGTATATATTATACATGTAATAATATATACATGTAGTTTATATTCAAATCATTAGCACTTCCTCATTCTGCTCCTTTGACTGCTTGCCACATAGAATACAAATAAATACCCAAATAGCATAATGGGCTTGACCTATTTTCAGTTTGGAACAGTTCATTTTTTTACTCAAGGGGCGTCTTTTTCAAAAATACTAAAATTATGCATCCATCACATAAACCTATACAAAGTACAATACTGGCAAATGATGACAGAGGATCTTACGTACTCTGTCCGTGAATTTAGAGACGATACTCCCCTCTGAGATCAAGCAGTTAATACAAATTTTAAAGAAAAGTTTTTAATAAAATTCAGAATACTATATCTCTTAATTGAGCTAATCGGTTTTGGTTTTTTCTTTCTTAATCTTTGTAAAGACATCAATTTTCCAGTCTATCAAACTGATCCATTAACAACATTCAGGGGGGTTAAACTAAAAATGAGCCGCGTCACGACAAAACCAACATAGTGCGTTTGCTACTAGCATGGATCCAGACCAGCCTGCGCATCCCTGCAGTCTGATCAGGATCCATGCTGTTCGCTGTCAGTTTCTCCACTTGTAATAGAGTTGGTTAGCGAATAGCATGGATCCTGATCAGACTGCGCGGATGCGCAGGCTGGTCTGGATCCATGCTGGTCGCAAACGCATTATGTTGGTTTTGTCATGACGCGGCTCAAATCTTTATTTGCCATAAAAAAAAACAATAAAGTTAAATGTTTATATTCAATACTGATTCAATTTAGATAAAGTCATACAAAATACAAAGATACTCAGAGAGTATTTCTTTTAGGCCATTTTCATACGAATCAAATGTAAACCTCAGTACATATAACCTGTTATATAATGGAACGCTGGCATGAGAAAACAGCCCTTAACATTATTTTACAAATGACGTCAAAAGACATTAACGATGTCAATGAAGTTAAAAATAAAAAAGTGAATTATCCTTAAAATGTTAAAAATAGATATGAATAGGTTATGATAAGCTAATTTAGTACTTTTATTTTGTTTTTATTTCAAGGGCTAAAGAATTTGAATATCTTAAAGAATTGAAAATGCTGATTAAAACAAGATTGCATTTGAGAAAAATGCTATGCCACCGCATGGTTCAAATTTCATAGCTGTACATCAAAGGACAAGAAAGTAGGTCACATAATCAAAATCTAGGTCACCTGATATCAAAGTTCAATTTTACAACTAAAACTGTGCACATGGTCAAAATGTCATTGCTGTACATCAAAGGACAAGAAAGTAGGTCACTGTCCCCTTGGGCAAGGCATAATTTTGACCCAAGGGTTTAATTCAAAACAATTTTGATACAGGTCCACCGAACAACATTTCAAGTCAAATATCTAAGCTATAGCTTTCTCCCATTCAGAAAACATTTGTTTTATTTTCTGTTTTTACTATGTGTACATAATGACAATCACTGCCCCTGGGCAGGGCCAATTTTGACACCAGGGGAAAATTTGAACAACTTTGGTAGAGGACCTATAAATGATATTATATATCAAACATCAAAGCTCTATGCCTTGTCCCTTCAGACAAAAATATTTTTTTATTTTTTCACTATATGTACATAATGAAAATCAATGACCCCCGGGGCGGAACCAATTTTGACCCCAGGGCTATAATTTGAACAATCTTGCAAGAGGTTCACTACACAATGTTTCATGCAAAATATCTTAACTCTAGCCTTTGTAAATTTAGAGAAGATGATTTTTTTAAGTTTTTACTATATACATATAAGGAAAACCTATGGCCCCTGGAGGCGGGGCTAATTTTGACACAAGAGGCAACATTTGAATAACTTTTGTAGAGTACCTTTAGATGATATTATTTAACAAATATTAAAGCTCTAAGCCTTGTACCTTCAGACAATAAGATTTTTTAATTTTTTACTACATGTATATATTGAAATCAATGACCCCCAGGGCGGGGGCAATTTTGACCCCAGGGCTATAATTTGAACAATCTTGCTAGAGGTTTACTACACAATGTTTCATGCAAAATATCTAACCTCTAGCATTTGTCAATTGCTAGAAGAACTTTTTTGAAGTTTTTACTATAAGTTTTTACTATTTACATATAAGGAAAACCAATGACCCCCGGGGCGGGGCCTATTTTGACCCCAGGGCTATAATTTGAACAATCTGGGTAGAGGTCTACCAGACAATGCCTTATGCAAAAAATCTAAGCTCTAGGCCTTTTGGGTCTTTACAAGAAGGTGTTTTAAGATTTTGCTATATGTACATATAGTGAAAATCAATGACCCCGGGGCGGGGCCGATTTCGACCCAAGGGCTATAATTTAAACAATCTTGGTAAGGGTCAACCAGACGATGCCTTATGCAAAATATCTAAGCTCTAGGCCTTTTGGGTTTTTACAAGAAGGTATTTTAAGTTTTTACTATATGTACATAGTGTAAATCAATGACCCCTGGGGTGGGGCCAATTTTGATCCCAGGGCTATAATTTTAACAATCTTGTTAGAGGTCTACCAGACAATGTCTTATGCAAAGTATCTAAGCTCTAGGCCTTTTGGGTCTTTACAAGAAGATTTTTTAAATTTATTCTTATAATTCCTTTTGGTTGCCATGGCAACCAGATTTCTGTATGGAATGAAATTCTTTGAACAACTTTGGAAGCCCTTCACCCAAGGAACAATCCTGCCAATTTTTGATGACATTGGGCCAGTGGTTTTTCACAAGAAGATTTTTTAAGTTCACTATATAATCTATATAACACACACACAAACACACACACAAACACACGCACACACAGGTGAATCGCTATATGCCACCGCATCGCAGATGCTGCGGTGGCATAAAAAAAGGTGAATGGTAAAGTGTTGTTTTCTCATGCAGGGGTTCAATTATATTTGATAACACTTGCTTCAAAATACTTTAATATGGTTATTTCGTCATTATACCTTATCTTTCCCCGCTTAATCTGCTGAATTTGTGAAATGGTTTTGTCATGTTTTAAATTTGAAACAGTCCAATCAAAGTTAAAGGCACATTATGCCTCAGAAATACACATTTCTTAAATTCTTTAGAATTATGTGTTTAATAATGTTTTGATAATATATTAAGAGCATGTAAGATGTTTAATAACTGACAAAAGTATTAACATGTAGTTATGTGTTGTAAAAGTAGCAAAATGTAAACAAAGTAGTATTTTGGAACTTCCATACAAAATACTAATTCACGATATAATTATACCAATTGCCAACATAACAAAATCAGCAAAAGATAGTTTATGTATACGGCAAATGAGTATTTTTTGGAAACTGTAAAAAGAAAAACCAAAAATAAAACAGTTTATGAGAAATAAAAATGATGGCATTTCAGATGCATAATGGACCTATAAAGGGATTTCAAAATCAAAATACAAAGTTACATTGAGCAAACAGTATAGCGCCCGGCCAGACTACAAGGTTGTGTCGGCTGGCCTGGCTCTATACTTGTGGCAAAAGCTTATTACTTTCAGTTCCAGCAGGTTAAAGGTTAAATACAAGAATTTGCATAATGTCTCTTCATTAATGATGAACAGAACAATTTGACATACATGTACAAAAAAATAAGATAATGAACAATTTCACCAATTCATTTTTTCGATTCTGGAAGTATGAAGCTCTGTGTATTTTCGTTTTGCAGTAAATCTTTAATAAGATATCTGTCATCTCGATATCAGCCAATCAAAATCTTTCATTTTCAGTTGATACCAACAACAACTCACACACTTTTCTATGCCGTATTTTCAAACAGATCACTAATAAATCACTAAATACTATCATCAGGACTTTTTACTTAAATGACTTGGAGCGTCCGCAAACATGTACTTAAGTTTAAAAGCCTCGGCCAGCAGTTCACTTATTTCATTGTCATGCCAGTGATGTGTTGGCAAATTCTGTAGGAACATTAGTATACCCTGAAATTATAATTAAAACAATTTCATGTTGAATTTTAATGCATATGTAGTAAAATAAAATAAATGATAATAATAATTGTCAGTTTCAATTGTGTCAGAGATTATTTCTTGTGAGACAGCTATCCAGTGTAATGAAGGATGGTGAAGAGATCTTCAAAGATCTTCTTCAAAGGTAATGTTGGAAAATTGCTACATACTGTTTACATGTGTTGGTGTGACTTAAAACTTGACAAAACAAATACAAAATAATAATAGTAAGCATAATTTAGAATCTACTATTTTTTTCCATTTTTCTGTCATATATGCTTGGTTTCTAAGGCAACAAAATAAAGAAATATATGAAAAATCTAGTCGTTTAAAATCAAGTTTATTTTATAACCCTTGAAATGTCCAGTAATTTTAACTTAGGTTACAAATTATTCAATTGACAGCAGTCAAAAGTTTGTCCTATTTTATTTAAATGAGAATATAGTCAAAACAGAAAATGAAGTTGAACACAGAATTTTACCTGGAAGTCTTTTTCTCGTAACAAATCTTTGGAAAACCTTGTCAGGAAGGCAGCACACACATAAAGATGAAAGTCTGCAAACCCATTATGTTCACACTGTAATAAAATGTAAGCATAATTTCATTGATCAGTCAACAAAATTTCTAGTATATTTTCAAGGTCAAATTAGCTACTGAGTAGGGTTTTAGACTTTCGTCCGAACTCATTACTAGAGTTCCATCCCAAAATAAACTTGTTTTTCTACAAGTATCATACAGCATTTCTACATTAACAGGCTGTATTTACCTTATAATGAAATGCGGGAGAAGGGGGGAGGGACAGTCATATAGAATATTGTTTCAAATTGAAGAAAAGAATTGTGTCTGTCAACAACAATACTGGCAGTGTAAATACTACATATTCTACCTAGCAAAAAGTCCAATTCAATATCAAACATATTTCCACTCAAGTACTATCACTTATTAAGAAATTTAATTTTATTTCATATCCTTGACCTCTCAAGATATGCAACATGCCTTATCCAGCTGACAGGGAGTCTGACCCTATATTATATTTAGCATATTATCAAGGGTCTCTTTCTTCAGGCAGCTAAAAGGACTTAATAAAAAAAAAAGTTAAATAGTTGCAGCTTACCAAGTAGGTATCCCAGAGTCTGACACTACATCTAAGAGGAATTTCCCTCATTAACAAATTGTTCATCCATCTAAATGCAAATTGTAGGTACTCCACACTCTCCTCCTCTAAATGGGCATGTAACTGGGCTGTTGATAAATGAAATAACACATTTAGGCATGTAACTGGGCTGTGGATAAATCAAATAATACATTTAGGCATGTAACTGGGCTGTGGATAAATGAAATTATACATTTAGGCATGTAACTCATAATACTGGGCTGTGGATAAAGTTAAATTAAACATTTAGGCATGCAACTGGGCTGTAGGAAATCAAATATTTAGGCATGTAACTGAGCTGTAGATAAAATTAAAAATGAATTTTTATATTTAGGCATGTAACTGGCCTGTGGATAAAGTTAAAATGAAATTTAACAATTAGGCATGTATCTGGGCTGTTATCAATTTTTTTCCATCAAATTGCAAATGGAACTGCTAAGGAAAAGATTCAAACTTTATTATGATGGTTCCCCTTACATCATGTATGTTTCTACGAAGATTTAAGTTACTTAACAAGTTTGACTATCCCTAGTTCCTTTAACCAATCGAATGTTAGCAATAATAATTACTTGCTTATTATAGTTAAAACACCTGACCAGTTTACAGCCAGACCAGTCAGTACATAATCTACACAATTACAGTTCAATTTTGACATCTCAAGGCAGTACAATGTACATAAAAGCTTTACATGTATTTAACAGTTCGAAATTCAAAGCAGGACAATTCCATTAAGCAAACTTGTACATTTAAGTCTGCTTATAACGATATTCAAGGTACTACCAAATTTATATTGTTATTTCAAGACTTTCTTCACCTTAATCCATTACTGCACTAAGGTGAATTACTGTCATATCTGAGGGGCAACCAATTTGAAAACCAGACCTTTATCCCATAATACTTCAAGCATGCCATGTTACTGTGTATTGTAACCGCCTATTGTACGGCTATCAGCCATTGGTCTATTTCACGATATTGACCAATGACAATAAGCAACAAAATAGGAATTCGTCAATATTAGTCTCCCTTGCCGCTGAAAAAATTATCTGACAGTAGGACAGACTTTAGCTTAAAAATCGTCGAACCGTGTGAAAATACGTTGGTTATATCCGTCAGTTAGACTGCTTTAAGGAAGTCTGGAGGTTACTGTTATAGTTAAATACCTACCATCAATTCTCTTCACAAGTTCCCTGAGAGCATTTACTTTAGTTTGTATGCCTGGTTGAGCGAATGTGTAATTATCCTGAATACCGTCTAGAAGTTTCGATGTACACCAGAACGTATCTGCTTCTATAACGTTTAATGTCTCCTCCGGTAATTCTGTAAGATTTATATTTTCTACTTCTATATCTGAAATATATAACAAACAGGAAAATACTGATGAAGGCTTTAATAGAATCAGTCATATGTTATCAATATTGTTTTTTCCCCTAAGTTCTTTCACATGCAAAAACGTTAAATTCTATAATAAACGCCCCTTGGGGAGGCGGGGGGTACAATTTCAATAGGGGGTGGTGGCCTAAATTTAGTATAAGAAAAAATGTTTAATAATAATATTGTAAAATTAAAAGGAACGTTAAAAGTTTACTGATTTTAAGTAATTTTTGTCTAGTTTTACATACTGGAAGCAGCAGCTGTGTAAAAATTTGTATTATTCCTTTATAATAAACTTCTACCATCTTCGAAACTCTGTTTTTTTTCTTTCCTTGGCAATAGCAAATCACTTGCAACAGATTAAGAGTTAAAATTTAGAATCACAAAGGACTTACCATTTTCAATAAACTCGGAAAGAAATACAACAAAGAAAGGAGTAACTAGATCATTGATGCCCTGTACATATCCGCTGGCCGGATGTCGTATTGCCCATATATATAATATTCGCTCAAATATCTGAAAAACAAAAAAAATTGTACAAATTACTTTCAAATTCGCACAAATGGCACAGATTTACCATTATAAATCTATGTAAAGTTAATATCTCATTAATTTTCAGTTTATGCAATTGATTTAGTAGATTGTTATATACATAATAATACTTTCAGTTATTGATAATCATCACACCTCCCCCTTTTTCAAAAAAGTTTTGGGAAAATCATTGCTGTAACAAAACATGCTAATTTAGAAGTTGGTATTTCTTATAAAAGAAGAAAATTTTATTAGTATTATTCTTTTTAATATTTTTGAGGTTATGGTATGATAAATACATGTACATATAGTAGAGGCTTTTTAAAAAATATTCTGAATTAATGCTAGTTGATAAAATAGTTCATAAAGCTTAACCAGAGTAACAATGATCCTATTTAAGGCAAGTTTAAATTCTATATTATTTCAACCCCCAGATCTTTCAAATGCAAATGATTGCATCAATTTTTATATGTACATTGACATAGACTGTTTGATCATGAATTTATTTTTTTCAAAATTTAATCGTTAGAAAATATAAAATCAACAGGATAGTTTAAACATATCTACTTTAACTTAATTGTGATGAAAACTTGAAGCTTATTTGCACCAGATATGAGTCTGTGTCCCCGACTAACCAGTGTGTCTTGGACTAACCAGAACTGGGTCAATGAGAAAGCATGATCACATGGTTATGACCCACCCATCTAAAAGATGAGTGGCAGCAAGTTACTGAGAAGAAGATAAACTTTTTATAACCTAGTTCAAAGTGTATAAAGCTATAAATTTGCTGCATGTAGTACAATGTATACAAAATAATTGTTTGAATTTTGATAAAAAAAATTAAACTAACATATCTATATGAAAAATATTAAAAGCAAATGTTCAATGCGTGAAATCATTGCCAAGTGGTTATAAAACTGCACTTAAAATATCAGCATAATATAATGTTCCAGAACATTTTATTATATTTACTTGTTACAGTCAGATGTATTTTATAACAGAGACATTTTATGTTACAAATCCTTCGAGAATCAACCATTCGATAATGAAAACAACATAACTTACTATTACATGTATTACTTGATTTTATAAACTAGAAATGTGTCATCATGCCACAGATGCCCCCGCATGCAGCCAAAATTTCAAATGTTATAATATTTAGTTCCAAATTTGTTTGCACAAATTATTTTTTTCATTCTAAGTTCAAAAGCCCTTAAAACTTTTCAATGTTAACACAAACCATTTTTATACAATGTTCAAGGCACTGAAATTATTCAGTCTTAACCTTTTGAAAATAGCATATTGCATATTTGTAGCTAAAATAATGGCTATATACATTTCCACAAAAGTATGAGTGCTGAAACTGAAAGTTCAAAATTTTTCCAACATTCAGGAAGGATAAGTTTGTCCAAAATCATTGAACCACGACCAAATTCAAACTTAAACTGCTTATTCCTATGATGTATCTATATTATTTTCAAAGTGAAAGGGACATAACTCTGCCAAAAAAATCATCGAACCATGACCAAATTCCAACTTGACCTGCCCATTCCTTTGACATATCAATATGTCAATTTTGAGTTGAATATGTAACACTGTTGGGTTGATAATGAACAGAAACTGTAAATTTCATATCATTTTCAAAGTGAAAGGGGCATTACTCTGCCAAAAATCATTGAACCATGACCAAATTCGAACTTGGCCTGCGCATTCCAAAACATATCCATATGTCAAATTTGAGTTGAATGTGTAATACTGTTGGGGAGATAATAAACGGAAATTGAAAATTTAACATTATTTTTAAAGTGAAAGGGGCATAACTCTGCCAAAAATCATCGAACCATGACCAAATTTGAACTGGACCTGTGTATTCCTTTGACGTATCCATATGTTAAATTTGAGTTGAATGTGTAATACTGTTTGGGAGATAATAAACGGAAACTGAAAATTTCATATTATTTTCAAAGTAAAAGGGGCATAACTCTGCAAAAAATCATTGAACCATGGCCAAATTCAAACTTGACCTGTATTTTCTCATGACATATCCATATGGCAAGTTTGAGTTGAATGTGTTGTACTATTGGGGAGATAATGAAAGGAAACTGAAAATTTCATATTATTTTCAAAGTGAAAGGGGCATAACTCTGCCAAAAAATCATCCAACCATGACCAAATTTGAACTTGACCTGCGCATTCCTTTGACGTATCCATATGTCAAGTTTGAGTTAAATGTGTTGTACCATTGGGGAGTTAATGAACGGAAACTGAAAATTTCATATTATTTTCAAAGTAAAAGGGGCATAACTCTGCCAAAAATCATCGAACCATGACCAAATTTGAACTTGCCCTGTATTTTCTCATGACATATCCATATGTCAAGTTTGAGTTGAATGTGTTGTACCGTTGGGGAGATAATGAACGGAAACTGAAAATTTAATATTATTTTCAAAGTAAAAGGGGCATAACTCTGCCAAAAAATCATCGAACCATGACCAATCTCAAACTTGACCTGTATTTTCTCATGACATATCTATATGTCAAATTTGAGTTCAATATGTGCAACTGTTATTAAGATAATGAACGGAAACTGATGATGACGGAAGGACGGAATGACGGTACAGGGTAACACTATATGCCCCTACCATTATATGGCGGGGGCATAAAAATATTTCAAGAGATATAGCTTTACACTATGATAATTATCCATGCTGCCATTACAATTTTAAAATATTTGCCATTACCATAACATTGTAAAATAACACTTCATGCAAATGTAAAAAAATAAAATGCAAATTACAAAAATAAACATAATTTTTATGCACACATTAGACATATAAATATCTGTAATATTATATCTTATTTATTATGCAGCATGCATTTAGGTACCCTAACTGTACTCTTTAACCTTTATTCTTCCAAATTTCTCCCATGGACTTGTCCAGTTTTCAGGTTTGGAACTGTCCATTATCAATTTTGGGGATATCAAATGAAAATTAAATTTGAAGTTGGTCAGCCTATATTAAAGAGCATGGTCAGACTACAAGGAAATACAGGCAAGCCTGGCTCTATACTGGTGGCAAAAACTAACCACATCTGCTTCCAACAGGATTAAATTTAAAACATGAAGCACAATGCAGGAAAATTACACCTGTTTAAATAATTTCTTTTAGCAAAATTTATGTGATTTTTTTTTTATCAAAATAATCATAAAATGAGCAAAGAAATCTTGTAGCCAAACTAATTACATTTCAGCTAATGACTCAATTGGCTAATGGCAGAATGAGCCTTGAGTAAGCCTTGTAATGTTAGTTTCAAATGTCCCAATTATGTTTATAACAAGTACAACGAAAAGCTATTTCATCAAGACTTTACCAGCAAAAACAAACCATGCATATACATGTTATGATGTATATACTGTTTATACATATGTATCATGTACAAGTAAGTAATTAAATGTCAAAACATACATATATAAATACAGGGTTAACATACTTGTATGAGAACAATTTGTAAGCATACATAATGTATGTAAAAAGTCTACTTTATGACAGGTATGAAAGTCAATAAAGTGCATGCTTGTTACTTCTTACATATATTTTTGTTTGTTTGTTTGTTTGTTTCATTTTACGCCTTTTCCCAACAGTATTTCAGTCATATAGGCAGGTAGTTTCCTTACCATCTTTCCTGGAGAATTACACCAGTACTTGACTACCTTCCTCCGTGCTAAACTACCAATGCATCTCCCGGCGATCGAACCCACGCCAGAGAGGTAACTGGATAAGAAGTCATCAACTCTAACCCCTCGACCACGGAGGCGGTTTCTTATATATGTACTACTTATAGAAAAAAATATAGCTTAAATATAAACAACGTTTTTCTTTTTCCAATTCCCAATAGGTCTGCATTTCATTCATTATGTATAGTTCCTAAGTTACAACTTCAAACAAGGTTATATAAGTTTTATAAGCACACCTATATAATAATGCAATCACTTTTTTCATATAATAAAAGGATTATTTATGCAATGGTGTTTCAATTGAACTTATGTCATGGTATGCCTAAAGAGATGAACTGATTCTGCAAAAATCTTCACAATTCTTGGCAATTCTTATAATTTCAATAGTAAATATCAAACTTATTTGAAAATTTAGGTGAAAAAAGCATATATTTGTATAATGGCATTTCTCATGCAAACTAACATCCTTAACTAAAATATATATTACACTTATGTTCAAACAGTGCTACAAAAAAGATGGCAGCAAAGCACTACTTCATACTCACTTCCTGGATGCGTTTTTGTTGAAACAAATGAGCTAAAGATGTCATTCTTGGAACATCCTTCAAAATCTGCAAGAACATTACATTACATGATGCTCTGTTACAATGACTGTAGCCAAAATTCCAAATTTGTTTCATGGAATTTACACCGATAAAACAAGGGCATTGTAAATCTTCATACCAAGTTTGAGACATTAAAAAAGCAAATCTGGGCCCCATCTTATCAACAATTGTACAATTAAAGAAATCTGCAATGTTTGATAAGACACCGCCAAAACCGTGCGATTGACGTAGGATAATCGTTCCATAAAAACGGTCATACCATCCTTGATAAGACAGGCCCCTGGTCTTTTTGTTACATTGTGTAAATGTAAAGCACTAAAACTGTACCAAGGTAGCAAGCTGCGTTTTTTTTTGCGTTGTTTTTAGTGACAAGCTTAATACAATTACAGTGAAACCTTTAAAGAGAGGCCCTCTGTAGAACAATTACCTCTATATAACAGCATAGTCATATCTTCAAAAACTTAAGATTTAACACTGATGTTAACCTCCGCTACAGCAACACCTCTCATCAACAACCATTACCTTTGTCTCCCTAAGGGTGTTGCAGTGCAGAGGTTAAACTGTATTTTAAATATGAGCAAGGGAGTTAATTCATGTTAACATTCATAAGCTGTTAGAACACATTTTTACAAATAAACATACCATAACATAACATATATTTCATGTATATACATGTACATTTAATAGCCCTTAACTTTTTTACTTGTACTGCAAAGGAGAATTTGTATACAATTCAAATAAATATTTTCCTGAGCAACAAATGTTAGCACAATTTATCTCCCTCTTACACTGTATTAAAACAGGCACAGTCATTTTTTTTCTCCTGTATCTATGAATTCAAATGTGGTATGCCAACACTGCCCTTGTTTACCATGAAACAAATTTGATTCTTACTATACTAAAACAAACAAAAAAAGTTCCACTTTTGATCTGAAAATACATATAAATGTCTACTTATATAAAAACGATTGGCCGATGTTGGTGTTAGCCTTGACCTAGAAACAGTTACCTTGTTAACTTGACCTTGGAACACTGATCATGTGACCTTGACCTTGGAATAAGAAAAATACCCTATACTTCTTACTATACGAACAGTGAGAAAGAATGACTGAAAAACTTGTTCAAGAAAAGTTTAGAACAACATAATATATTTACCTTTATGTATCTTCAGATCAAAATTGGTCATGCACTCAAGCAGAAAATGATAATAAAGGAAAATATAAAAAAAAAAAAAACATTTAGAAAGGGCCCATAACCACTGGATTTTACATGCATTTGCTCCAACATATACAACTTACTTCTTGAACTAATAACTGTTGAAATATTGGTATTAATGGATTCATACGAGGTATGTCTATATGTATCTGGAAAAATATTTTACTGTTCAATCATAAATGTTCTGAAAATGAATCTATAAATAAATGTTATTATGATTAAATGTTTATGATTTATGAGTTATAATTCTTACCATACAAACAGTACTGAAAGATTAAAGAGTGGATGGGAATGAAAATGCTCAACATTAGACCCCAGCCCCCCCCCCCCCCCCCCAAAAAAAAAACTACTTGCACCTTAGTAGAAATATCAACCTTGAAACCCACACCAGTGAGAGGCCAGTGGTTCAAATTCTAATAAACTTTATTCTAAAAGATTGTGACCTCCTAAAAACATTTATTTATTACTTAATGGTTAATAAACATGGCTACACACAGTATTTTTTCAGATAATTCAAAAAAGGGTAGTAAAACCGATGCATGTGAAGGAATTGTCATATTCTTGTCGAAAATACAGTCGAACTTCGTTCGCTCGAACTCGGAGGGCCTGTGCAAATTTGTTCGAGAGATCGGTAGTTCGAGCCAACCGAGGTTGAACTATTATTACGTTGATCATATGCCTAAAGGTTTTTCTAGCTTACATCGGTCGAATGATAAATGCGTCAACATAATTGTTTGTTAGTACATCTATTTGTCGAATATTTCATATTCAGAATTATTAGCCCAGTGTTTTAATTAAGTATTAACGGTACGCTGTGTAAATCTATATTCATGCATATTGTAATTGGTTGAGTTCGATTGGGCAATCACACCAAACTTATTGAACAATGTTCAAAATGTATTTATATGTTTTCTAATGAGATGAATTTAATTTTTGAAAATAAATTAATGAACTATTTATTAAAAACATTTACAGCAGCATGTATTTGTAGTCATTTACTAAAATAAACACACATAGAAGTATCATTCTATAAAAAGATAACACTGTTACGATTCACTTTACATGAACCACGGTTGTAATTAAAGCCGTCCTGGTAAACGGCATTCTTTATTGGCATGATTATTTTACTTATTTCACAAGTATTTTCTTTTTATTGTTACCATAAACGGCAAATCAATAATATTATCATACAAATAAATCGGTTACAACACCTCTTATTTTGTATCAATTAACCTTAATTACCCTTGTCACGACCACGAGGTGTTAAAAACATGCGTCGCCGACTGTCATTTATTTCAGGACATACCAACTTGTCTTTTTGTGTTCGACCGAAAAGGTGTGATTTTCACTATATTTCTGCCGAAGGGACCAGAGATCAGGTTCGAGAGTTCGAGCGATCGGTGTTAGAGCAATCCGAGGTAGAACAATATATATTATATAGGAATTTTGCCGGGACTGGGCATTGAGTTCGTGCGAAGGGAGGTATTCGAGCGATCCGAGTTCGAGCGAACGAAGTTTAACTGTAGTTAAAAATGTTAAAGAATTCAGGAACAGGGTCTTAATGCAAACATGTTTCTTCAGTATAGGCTTATATTCTGTACATGTTATACACAATTTACAGGGAAAGAACTGTATTTGTTTTAATGATAAATTACCAACAATTCAAGCATTCAACAAGTGAAATTTCTCAACCTGATCAAATAATACAAAGGTATTATAACTGTAACAATAAAAATACTTTCATTGCATGTTTCTGGTAAACATACATTTATAATTTCATTCTACGAATTCTTAAAAATAATTATGATCTCTTCAAATTCAGGAATTTCATTTATTATTGACGATATTGATAATTAAATGAGGCCAAAACAAAACAATAATGTGGTTTCCAATTACATGACTTGATTCAAAGTTTTTGTCCAAACTGAAAATGATGTTTGCATACAAAAGCAAAATTAATTCAGAATAGAATTAGATTACAATGAATTGCTATTAAAAAAAATCAAAAAAAATCTCTCTCCGAACCTGTCTTACCAATTTTCATCAACATGTTACTATACCCTTAAAATCGTTTCGTTTAGCCAAATATAAATAGGCATATTGCAAAATTTAGCTATTCGCAGGGAGAGTGTGTAATATAACTTTACACAATCAACAAGAACTTTAACTAAAAAAATTTATTTTTTTTAAATCTCCATCAGACACGGACACCCAACAATCAAATGTTTTGTCAGTCTGAGGATAAACAGTGGGATGGATGGATAGACGGATGGGCAAGGGGCAAATCTATAGACCCTCAAACACTTAGGTAATGAACCATTATGGGGGGCATAACAATGCATAACTATGCTTACAAACCTAAAATACCACTCCTTATTCTTTGAAATGTGAAGCTAAAAATTACAGATTTTCATTCTGATTAAATAAGATATCTATGATGGCCATAGTAAGATTTTAACTATGTTTTACCTGTCTAAAGGTGTCTTGATGCATTTCATCATGTCTAGAATCATAATATTGATCAATAAGGCTAAAATATTCCTGCCTCTTTCTCTCTAACATCTGGTCCCGACGATCAAAATTTGTCGGTAAATACCCCTACAACAACAAATAATAATATACACACCATAAAATAAAGTGCAATAAGTTTATACAGAACTTATTGTAGTTTGTGTAAGAAGCTATAAGCTTATAGGCACACTCTAGAATCCATTCCTATAGTCAACCAGTACAAAGCAATGAGTGTAAAGTTTCTTCCTCAAGAAAACAACAGTTGGCCTTGGACAGAAATTGAACACATGTGGCCAGCAATTCTTAGATAACTAATTTGGCATGTTTACCACTCTGCCATGCAATTTAATACTTACAAAAACTCTTGAAAAAATTTATTTAATAGTAAATACAGAAAATAAATTTGAAATACTTCAAAAACAAATACATATGTGCCTGAACATTATTAGAAGTATACTATATTATTCTAAAGTCACAAAAATGACTGGCAAAATAGTTCAGGTTAAAATCATGATGATGTCAGTCGAAAACCTAATCATAAGAAAAACCAAAAGAAAGGGTAAAAATTCTTACAGATAATATTTTCCAACAAGTGGGTCGCACAGCTTTTGGTATACCTGACCAACTCAGTTTTTGAAGCTCAACTGAAAGGTATAAAAATTAGACATATAATTTGAAGATAATTTTGCTTATTTTCCATGTACAATCCTTGAATGTATAATAATGCATAATACATGTACACATATGCATTCCAACATTATAAATGCCTTAAAAATAAATATTCAATGCAAAAATTTTAGTATTTGACCATTTCTCAATTATTTCAAGAATTTCCATGATAATGAAGAACAATGACTGAGATAATAGTTTGAAAATGATATTTCATGGAAGAATTAGTGATTATCCTTCTGTCCTGAAAATAAAACCCAAATATTTTACAACAAGTATAAAACTAATAAGCTGCAATTTCTTTAGCACTGACTGTATTTTGCATCTTGAAAAGTTCCAAATTCAAAACCGCTTAAGTTTATGGCTGCAAAATAGATTTATTAAAATCTATATTAATTGAACTGAAATCTTTGCTACAGGCAAAAAGCCAGGCCAGTCTGTACATATTAATATTCTCACCAGACGTTTTCTGCCGGCTATATTTTATCTATAGCAAAGTATATATCTAAAAGGAAAACTAAACATAAATTCTTACCCATATTGGTGTTAGGACCAGCTAACATTGTTTTGATTTTCTCCAATTTAGTTACTTCTTTGTCAACTATTGTATCTTGTGTGTATCGTATGGGACTGGGTTTTGGGGGCTGAAAGGAGTTGTTTATTCTAATACCCATACCAGGAGCTGCCTTGTGATGACCTGGTCCAAGATTGGGACCTAAATAAGATCAGATCATCATTAATGCTTGAACAGTCAACATTAGAAGTATATGAAATAAGCTGTCAAGAAAAATAAAATACAAAAAAAGAGTAATAATTTAACAGCAATTGCTTTTAAACATTATGTGCGAAATTCCATAGCTTAAGGTAGGATCATTTTCACACATTATATAAACAGCAAACCACCTATTACATGGACAGCTTTGAAGCATATAATATACAAGTAGTGTATATATACATGTATGTGTACATGTATGTATCATAAGAATATTTTACACCAACAAATGAGATCACTTGTAAGACAAGAGTCTAAATTTTACACCTAAAGTCGGCAGTTCTTCCTTATTGACTACAATGTTTATACGTTGTATTTGATATGCATAATAAAACAAGGTGTAAGGCATTAAATTGATGTTAACTAGAAAAGCATCTATAGAACACATATTCCCCCATCTTTTATTGTTTTGACAGACAGCTTGACAGCAGAACAGACAGACATAAGGGCAAATATATATGCCCTCCCCCACCTTCATCTAAGTCAGTAAATGGGGCATAAAAATCATAAGTAAATACTGTTGAACAAATCATATTTACCATTATAATGTATATTAGCATTTCTTGTCTGTCTATCATGATCTATCACAGCCTTGGCTGTAGACTGAATATCCTTCATGGACATTTTTATGTTTGCCATATCGATCATCAAGTCATCATCTCCATCATCCCAGGCATCCATTGTCTTGTTCTCAAAGTCTTGAAATGAGTCCCCTGTCCTTGCTGTTTTTGACTTGTCATCTTTCTTAGCAGCATTGCTAAAATTGAAGGCAGAAATGAGAGCAAAGTTATCTTGCCTTGGATTTTATTTTCGTTAAGGAAGCATGCAGACTTTTTATCCACTTATATATCTGTGTCTGAAACTGAAACATTATTTCTATTTCTGTTGGGTTAAACGTCATACTAACACAGTCTATGTTAACTTTTCAGCTTTACTGGTGGTGGAAGACCTCAGGTACCCTTCTGTGCATTATTTCAGTCATAAATGGGACCCAAGTAGAACCAAGACGTTCCATAAGCTAGCTGGATAGATTCCTCATATGGAAGTCCAAATTGCCTGTCAGGTTTCGGACCCACAGCAGTGAGGAGCAAATGGTTTGAGGTCAATGACCTTTATCAGCTTAAATGGAAAAGAAAAATTTGACAGCTCTCATAAATTTTATTTCATTCTCATTTAAAATGTATGTATTCTGGGCTCCATCCGCCCTTTCAGGCACTGAGAGTACGAACCTCAGACATGTCACAATTTTCAATCTGGAGGGGTGTTGCTTTTAAAGCTGCTCTAACTCTATACTGGTGGCATAGGTGACAGGTCTATTATTTTCTACAAAAGCATTCAAAAAGTTTGTGGCAGTCATGAGACTTACCTTAGAGGTTGGTGCATAGGAGGGTGTTGTGCTCCATAGACTGGTTTACCACTGTAAAATAATTCATTATATCATTTTAAAATTATCATAGACATTATTTCCCTGCTATACACTGTCCATTATTTTAAGCCTGTAACCTAATAACTGATTACTAGCAGTAAATAAATGTCCATAATCAATTGAATAATATTTGACATTACCGATGCACCATGCTATGTGGGATCATTTTCATTAGTAAATAGTAGTTCAAAATAAGCAATTAGCATATGTCAAAATAAAACTTGTCCAGGCCTACATGTAACTTCCTGTTTATTGTCAGTTGTCTGGAGTGGTTTTAGAGTTGTCCCAGAAGTTAGACTATAGGATTTGTAGAGTGTGTGTCATGTGACTAAAAGTTTGCAAATGTCATAAACATACACTGTAAATATCCTAAATATACACTGTAACATAAATGTGTACAGCTTATAGTTTTTTTTTGAAAACATAGTTTTTAACTGATTCAGTGTGGAATTCATAATGGGTCAATGAGTTTGAAATGTCTTTTTAATATAGCTTCAAAATTTTCACATAAGTGACCTACATTACAAGCATTCATGTTATTATTGCATGCTATTTCTTTCTCTGTCAATACATTGTAAATAGAGGTATATATTCTTTTAATAAATAAATATATGTTACTATCTGATGGTACCTTTCTTATATGCTTTGCACATTAAATTACAAATTTCAACACTGTGTCACATGTTTGTTTATGAAATCATGATGAATTTGTTATCTCACCAAAACTTCACTTAAAACAGTATTAAATGAAAACATATGCCATCACCATCTCTCACATGTAATAAAATATACCCTGATTAAAGATTCTCTCTGTTTTCGAGAAAGATTTTACATTAAGTGTTCCAATATCCTTTTATTGAATTATGCTGAGTTCTGAGCAAGTGCCATATTTAAGTGGTTATTCAATTGACTGGATGAAATTCTTCCAGAGGTGAAGAAACAAAATGCATGTGTTTTATTTGTTAGAGAATTATGTGCAGATCTTGGCATGAAATGAAAGCACAAAACAGTGCCGAAAACCTGTTCCTCTCACATCCAAGGGAAGGGTACGCTGTTATCTATATGAAATAATGATATTTTAGCAAGTATTTTAAACATAATCAAAATAGTTGACATTACGTCCCATGTTCAAGACAAGTTACCAGGTCATAATTCTATGCAAAAATATTGTGATGTATGATTTGAAAATAAAGTTAGCCATGCTGTATAAAAATGCGGATCAAGAAGGAAGCCACTTACTGACTTACTTAACCTTAACCAGAGACATAGATAACAGAGATAGGCAATTTCTAGCAAATATCACGTGTGCTTGCTAAACTTAAAACTTGTAGCAAGTAAAACTTATTAACCAGATATCTAAAGCAGTAAAATAACATTTTCTGAAAGCTTATACCATACGTTTGCCTATAACTGCAGGTAAAAACATTTACAGTTACCATTTAAATAAATGATACATGTTTTTTTTAAAGAGAACTACTTAATATTTTTTGTTACAAAACTATTCATATGACAAAAAACTGGCTCAGTGGGTACGTTCTGCCATGTTTTTCTAAGTGAAAGGCATGGAAAGTTACCAATATTTTTTAACATGCAGCCATAGATAAAAGATTTACCTTTCAAATGGCATATAATATTAAAGGATCAAATGTACATCCATTAAGTTTTATTTGCTACAAAATGCCTAATTTTTCACTTTTTGATAGGCATGAGTGATATTTCAATGGAGTATATAGGAGCTGCTTATCTCTGTTATCTATGTCTCTGCCTTAACTTAAGTGTCTGTGCCTTAATTGGATTACAGTAAACCTAAATTTATCTGAACAAGATTATCTAGCAAGACATTTCACCCCTCAAGACACTTCACCCCTCATCCATTTTTTCTATAAAGTAAATAAGTCAACAACATAATGCTTTTATATGTTTAATTTAATTATTTTTTAATAGGAAGTGGCTAGCCGTACGGGCCCGTACGGCTAGCCAAAAGTTCTAGCCGTACGTGAGTCACGTACGACTAGCCTGGACACACTGTATATTGGCTAGCCGTACGGCACTTTTCAAAATTATATGGAAGTCGAAAATGCATATGTTATTTTGTGTCTTTAAACAACGATTTTAATCAAATCTCCGCATTTGTCCTAGTAAGTTCACTTTAATAAAGATACTCCGCAATTTTGCACACACAAAAATGAATACGAGTAAGCGTTGTATAATCTATCTAATAAAATTAAGTGTCAAAGTTGCATGTTATAACGTCCTTAATTTTCATGCTTATGATTGTATGAAAGATGAATTGTTCAAGCTGTTAATTAAGCACATGGATCGAATAAATAATAATCGGAGGGGAATAAATAAATAAATAAAAAGAATATTAAAAAAAGTGAAAAGGAAAAATAATTTAATAATGCAAACTTTTCTTAATAATGGACGATGGACAAACTTCTATACCGTCGGTAATTGGCGCAATTATCAGAGCCCAACAACAATTATTTTCGGTGTTTTTTGTTGTTGTTTTTTTTTTCAATTTAAAAATTAAACTTAATGAAACAAAAAAGGATTATTATCAAAATTTTGTAAACTATTTCAAATGATGTTATTTAACTGAGACCAAACGCTATTTTTTCTCGACGTCTTGAGATGACAAAGTAAATTCTTTACTGTAGCCAACACGTCGATTAATCTCTAAAAAGCAAACATTCTTGACTAAAATCCTCGCTTAAAGTCATTATCAACATATGCACTTTCGCCTTCCATATATTTTTGAAAAGTGCCGTACGGCTAGCCAGTACAGTGTGTCCTGGCTAGTCGTACGTGACTCACGTACGGCTAGAACTTTTGGCTAGCAGTACGGGCCCGTACGGCTAGCCACTTCCTTTTTAATAAGGGGTCCTACTAAACACTGCTAAGGACTGCTAAGGACCGCTAAGGACTGCTAAGGAGCCACAAAGGACTACTAGGGAGGCACAAAGGACCTTAAAATACCTCCTAGGGCATTCTTATAATACATGGTAGTATGTTTAGTGAAAAAAAAATTATAATTTTAAGAAAAAATATTATTTTGGTGAAAATTTTATGAGTTGCCGGACCGCTAAGGACTGCTCAGATACACAAAAGACTGCTAGGGAGGCACAAAGGACCTTAAAATACCTCCTAGGGCATTCTTATAATACAAGGTAGTATGTTTAGTGACAAAAAATGTATTATTTTAAGAAAAAATATCATTTTAGTGGTAAAATTTATGTTTTTGAAGATATGCCGGACCGCTAAGGACTGCTCAGATACACAAAAGACTGCTAGGGAGGCACAAAGGACCTTAAAATCCCTCCTAGAACATTCTTTATAATATATGGTGGTAAGTTAAAAGACAAAAATGTATTATTGTAAGAAAAAATATAATTTTAGTGATAGAATTTATGTTTTCGATAAGTTGCAGGACCGCTAAGGTGCACAAAGGACTGCTAGGGAGGCACAAAGGACCTTAAAATATTTCCTAGGGAGGCACAAAGGACCTTAAAATACCTCCTAGGGCATTCTTATAATACAAGGTAGTATGTTTAGTGACAAAAAATGTATAATTTTAAGAAAAAATATAATTTTGGTGATAGAATTTATGCTTTCGATGAGTTGCCGGACCGCTAAGGACTGCTCAGATACACAAAAGACTGCTAGGGAGGCACAAAGGACCTTAAAATACCTCCTAGAACATTCTTATAATATATGGTAGTACGTTTAAATAGACAAAAATGTATTATTGTAAGAAAAAATATCATTTTAGTGATAGAATTTATGTTTTCGATGAGTTGCAGGACCGCTAAGGACTGCTAGGGAGGTACAAAGAAATACCTCCTTATAAGGGGCACAAAGGACTGCTAGGGAGGCACAAAGGACATTTATATACCTCTTAGGGCATTCTTATAATATATGGTAGTATGTTTAAGTGAGAAAAAATGTATAATTTTAAGAAAAAATATAATTTTGGTGATAGAATTTTGGGTAAAAATTTTATGAGTTGCCGGACCGCTAAGGACTACTCAGATACACAAAAGACTGCTAGGGAGGCATAAAGGACCTTAAAATACCTGTTAGGGCATTCTTATAATACAAGGTGGTATTTTTAGAGACAAAAAATGTATTATTTTAAGAAAAAATATCATTTTAGTGGTAAAATTTATGTTTTTGAAGAGTTGCCGGACCGCTAAGGACTGCTCAAGTGCACTAACAACTGCTAGGGAGGCACAAAGGACCTTAAAATCCCTCCTAGAACTTTCTTAAAATATATGTTAGTAAGTTATTAGACAAAAATGTATTATTTTAAGAAAAAAATATAATTTTGGTGATAGAATTCATGCTTTCGGTGAGTTGCCGGACCGCTAAGGACTGCTCAGGTGCGCAAAGAACTGCTAGGGAAGCACGAAGGACCTTAAAATATTTCCTAGGGAGGCACAAAGGACCTTAAAATACCTCCTAGGGCATTCTTATAATACATGGTAGTATGTTTAGTGACAAAAAATGTATTATGTTAAGAAAAAATATAATTTTAGTGATAAAATTTATGTTTTCGTTGAGTTGCTGGACCGCTAAGGACTGCTAAGGTGCACTCACAACTGTTAGGGAGGCACAAAGGACCTTAAAATCCCTCCTAGAACATTCTTATAATATATGGTATAATAAATGGTAGTAAGTAAATGGACAAAAATGTATTAATTTAAGAAAAAATATAATTTTGGTGATAGAACTCATGCTTTCGGTGAGTTGCCGGACCGCTAAGGACTGCTCAGGTTCACAAAGGACTGCTAGGGAGGCACAAGGGACCTTAAAGTACCTCCTAAGAAATTCTTATAATTTATGGTAGTATGTTTAATGACAAAAAAATGTATAATTTTAAGAAAAAATATAATTTTGGTGATAGAATTATGCTTTATGATTTTAAACACATACCAAAACATCTATATATAAACATATATTATTACAAAATAAATGCAAGTACACATATTTATGTTTAAGCACATATCACTTATGAAGCGGGTCTCTAACACACATCATAACATCTAGATACAAAGACATACCCTGGCAAAAA